GATGGAGGGCGCGAGCGGGCGGCCGCGGCGCCTGCACCCGGTGGGGCGCTGATGCGGCGCCTGGACCTTCGCTGCGCGACTTCGGGGGCGTCGGCCGAGTTGGCACTCCGCGATGCAGCTCCTGAAGGCGCTTTGGGCACTCGCAGGGGCCGCGCTCTGCTGCTTCCTCGTCCTGGTGATCCACGCGCAGTTCCTGAAAGAAGGTAATTGTCCCTGGCGCGCGGACCGGTCCCCGGGCGCCGTCCCCCGCGCCCGCTCAGGCTTCCAGCACGTTCCGTCGCCGCCGTGCTCGGTCCGGGCTCGCCGAGCGCCACTGCAGGGCTGGACTGGCCGGCGGCGGACCCTTCCCAGCGCCCGGCCCCGGTGCGGAGCCCGTCGCCCCGTGCCCATCGGGGTTCACGGGCGGCCCGCGGGCCCGGGTGCGGCGCGGGATTCGGGGCGCGGCGGCCTCGATGCCTCTCGCGCCGCCTGGGAGCCCCGGCCCACGCCGAGGAGGCTGCCAGTGCCTGTCCCCTGCCCCGCACGGCTCGTTGGCAGCGGCGCCCGCTCTCTCTCCGCCGGCTCTCGGTAGATGGCACCAGCGCTCCACGCTGGCGGGCCGGGCCAGGGCCGGGCGGGCTGGGGCGGGCGCGGGGCCCGGAACGGGCGGGAGCCCAGGGCGAGGCCTGAGCGCCCGCACCCAGCTCCCCCCTGCCGCCTTCCAGGCCGAGTCTGGGACCCGCGGGCTCCAAAAGCAGGGACTTCGCCGCCGGAGCGCCCAGCTCGGCACCAAGTTCGGCCCCCTTGCTCTCCTCGTGCCTGCTAGAGCGCTGGGTTGGTGGATCCCGTTCCTGGGACTTGGTTGAGGCGCGCATGTTGATGGTCGGACCTTTGCAGCTGAAGGGGTGTCTGGGACGGGGGAGCCGGTCACCAAGGGCCTCTGGGCGGGGCACACACGCTGGTATAGTCGGTGGGCAGCTGAGTACCCCAGGCACTCCTGAAAACTTCCTGGCTCTGGGGCCTGGCTGTCCTGGAGAGCGACCTGGGCACATCCTGGGCTCAGCCTGGCTGGCCCTCATCAAACACGAGAGCGAGGCCCATGGTCGCACCCACTGCCTGTGGCCATCAGGTGCCCTTGCCCTCAGGCACCTTGCCGCCAGGGCCCTCTGGTGCTCCCCTGGCCAGCAGGGAACACCGAGTGCAGGAGGGAGCTGGTGTGGCCTGGTAACGCGGGCAGATCCTCACTAGCTCTGAGTTCCTACAAAGGAAGAGTCTGCAACATTCAGCTGCTTCCTGCCTAATTAACGAGCTGCCGGCTTCCTGGGGAAGCAGGTAGGCGTGGGAGGCCAGCCCCAGGCCGGGTCACCAGCTCCAGTGGCCTGGTGTGCAGTGTCCTCCCGTGATTTTGTGTCCCGGCCCTGAAGGAGAGGCGGCTGTCACAGGGTTTGCTGCAGCCTCAGCCTGCTGCTGAGGGCTCCATGAGTCCTTCCTGAAGTTGGAGGCCGGCCCTCCCCCCACTGGCTTACTGTCCTGCTTTGGGACTGGCTGGTTCTGCGGTGGGTGGGTGGTCTCCTGGGGCTGGCAAGCCCCCAGAGGGCTGTTCTCAGCTGTCCTCTGCCAGGGTCCCCTGGGGCCCTCCAAACGGCTAGGGAGGCCCTGCGTGGCTGGGCCTTGTTCTGGCTGTAAGTTCTTTGCCTTTCCCATGAATCTCTGTTTGAAAAGGAACGGATGTGAAAGTTTCACGAAGGACGAAAGTGCAGGGCCGTGTGGGGCTTTTCCATGGTGAGGGGGATTTCCCCTGATTTTAAAGCCGTGATTTAGTAAGAGGGTAAAGCCGATGGCTGCTCTGATACCATGTGTCCAAATGGTTCCCTTCCCTGCAGCCTGTAGGAACTGACCAGTCCTGTGTCCTTGGAGGGCACTGCCGTCCTCCTGAGGCCCCAAGTCCTAACGGCAGTGTGTTTTGGTCAAGAGGAAAGAGTTTCTGTCTCTTGGATTTGAACAGGCTAGGTGCAGGGCAGGTCGATGTTTAAGTGAATAGTCGTGCTTATAGAGTGGAGCGTTTTTTGTGGATGGGTTATTGAGAGCCCTTCACGGAAGCCTCTGCATTTCCCTTGAAGTGGGCACACGCGGGTCGGCGTTCTGGAGGACGGTGTAGGAATGGGAAGTTGGGTCATGGGCGGGGAGCAGGTGCACTCTGAAGGCTCAGTCTCCTCGGACAGCACTGGGGAGCATGGGTGTTTGCCTGCCAGCCTCCGGGGTTCTTGGAAGTCCTGTTTGTCCACCTGAATTGGCTGTATTTGCTCCATGGGGGCTGGGCACCCTTTGCCCCATCTCTCTGGAAGGTCAGGCCTGGAGCTGCATCCCTGTCCTCTCTGAGCTGCCCCTTCCGGCCCCCGGGGGGGTCAGGAGCCCGGGCAGGCCTTGGGGAGGGAGGTGGGGCCGACCCTGGCTCAAGGGGAGAACCAGGGGCCTTTCCGGCCAGCAGGCTGCAGGCCCCGGTCCACTTTCTTCCAGTGTTGTGCTGGCCAGCGGGAGGTGGGGCACGAGACGGGCGGGCGACAGTTGTGACTTGTTGTCTGCGGGTGAGTGGGAAAGAGCTGTTTAAATAGCCATTTCCATGAATCTGGTTTTTTCAGGGCTGAAGAATGGGGGACACAGGGAGCTGGTTTTCCACACTTCCCCTTTTGTGTGGAGATACAGGTCACCCTGTGGCTAATCCGTCCCCCTCTGGCCAGTCTGCCTTCCAGTGTTTGCAAAGATGAATAGGGCTGTGAACTGAGAGAGAGGCGTATTGTGGTCCCTAATTGCAGCCTTGGCTGGTCCGGTCTTTGTAAGAACAGTCCTGTCGGCCGCGTCGGGCCTGGCCCAGCCAGCCGGAGGGCCAGGGAGAAAGACCCCAGGCATGGCCACGGCATGGGTGGGGGCCCACAGGGGCCTGAGTAGCACCTCCTCTGGCTGGGGATGCCCTGACCCTCCTCTGGAAGCGAAGCCCCTGTCTTTTGCAATGAACACAGTGTGCGAACGCTGTGTGTTTGTGAGCTATAGTCAAAGTGGGGGGCAAGGACAGGGTTCTCGGGACCCTGACAACATACGGCTGCGTAATTAGGGAGCAGGGCGTCTGTGACCGTATGCTGGGGAATCCCTCCTTTCATCTCCTTCATTGTATTTGGTCTCAGAACACGGAGTTGAGCAAACAGCTGGAATGATAAAAATGTCTCCACCTCCCTCTTCCAAAGACTTTCGGATATTTTTCTCCCAGTATCTCAATCACTCCACAGATTACAGCGCTGCACAGATTAGGGGCTTTCCTCTGGATGCTTAATGCACAGGAAGAATGAAGAAATGCTGCAAAGAAGCTGAGCTGACCCCCAGCCGGGCCCGGCCACCTGGGGCTTTGGGACTAGAAGGAGGCACAGGCAGGCCAGGGCGTCACCGGGCCCGCTCTCCTCTCTGAATTGAAGGGAGGACCCGGCGCTTTTTCCTGTGGATGGGGATTTGGGGTTTAAATCTGTCTAAACCCTTTTGGTGGCAGGGGATTTCGAGAGATGGGGGAGCGTGCTCTTACAGCCTCTGTGGCAGGTTCCTGTGGAGAATCGGGAGATCAGCGTGTGCGTCCAGGCGCCCTTGCTGCGGGCCGGCCTTGTTTCCAGAGGTCCTTTCTGAATTTGACAGCTGCTCCGAGGGCAGACTAGTGATGGGGTAAACAGGATTCAACTTTCGTTTATTGAGTTTATTGAGTTATTCTGGAAACGGAGTGTAATTATGCGGACCCGTGGCTGGTGAGGGGCGCGCTTAATCTTATACAGTCCCTTCATGGCCTTCTGTTAATTGTCGAGGCTTTGTGTGCTGATCATTAATCGCTGTGGTCTTCACAAGATCGGCAGCTGACGCAGAGAGTTAATATGTCTGTTATATCCGCCAGTTTATTTTTCATAAGTGGACAGAGGACTGAGCACTGGCACACAGTTCCCTGGCACCCAGGAGTCCGTCAGAAATGTTTGTAGAATCAGAAAGTCACCCCAGTTATAACTTGTGCACGTGTCCCGGAGGCACAGGTGGGAGGGGGCTTGCGTGCGGCCCACTGCGGGGTGGTGAGGGCTCAGTGGGCCCTGTGTGAGGTTTCCCAGAGTGGGGGCTTCCTGAGCCCCAGACTGTGCCCAGCCCCATTCTCAGAGACTGTGATAACACAGGAGTGGGGGGACCAAACGCTTGGGGTGTGTGTGTCCAGGTGAAGAGAGGGTTCCAGAAGCCCTGTGTTCTAGACGCTCACGGCCCCTTGTGTCGGTAACCCCCACTCCAACTTCACCGCTGGGCTGCGGGGCTCCCAGCCTGGGCCTGGCCGCTGCTTTCTCCCTGAGCTTCTGGGCTGCGTGGGGAGGGACCGACCACTGGGGTGCCTCCCCCAAACCCCGGCTGACTCTTTGAAAGGCCTGGTAAGTGTGAATGGCTGCCAGGAGGGGCAGGATTGAAAAGGCGTTAAAAATAACTGGCTCCTTTATCATCATTTACTATCTTTCTTGTGTGACAAAGAATCTAAATAAAACCCACACTCACGGTAATGGGAGTCTCATCCGGTGAGTGCCTGACAGCTGTGGAAGTTAGAACATGAAAGGACTCGTAATGGAGGCGACTCTTCAGAAGAGACAGGCTCACCAGCCCCTCACCAGCCTCGCGGGGCAGGGGACATCCATGATCCTGAGGTCCCCGAGGAGGCCGGGGCCCCGCCTGGGCCCGCGGAGCCTGTGTCTGGGGCCACGCTCAACATGCGTGCTCCGGACGGCCAGGACTTAGGCTGACTCCCCACTCGCATCACTGGAAGCTCATCTGTCGCCCACCTCGCTTCCATCCCAAAAATGGCGTGTGAGAGCCGCACTGGGGACCGGTCTAAGTACCCACTCAGTGGTCAGCACATCAGAGTTTTTGCCCTTTTCTAGGGACATAGTGCTGTGCAGGGGGTACCAGGAGCAGAAGGGCAGTAGGCACCAGGTCCCGTCGCCTGGTGGAGTGCTGGATGTGGCCTGGAGAAGGCGGGGGCACGGTGTATCTCGGGCAGTGGTGTGCTCCTGAGTTTTTCTATGTGTGTGTGTACGCACACGTATGGTTGTATTAATTAAATACTCTCTCATGCTTCTATAGTTATATATGACCTACTCAGGCATATGAAATACATGAATGCATTGTGAACTTGATTTAAAATACGGCGGCCTAACGAGGGAGCAGA